GTAATTATTTATTTATTTATTTCCATACTTGACTAATTTACTTATTTATTTACTTTTCGTAATTATTTATTTATCTATTTCCACACTTGACTAGTTTACCTATTTAATTATTTTTGCAATTATTTATCTACTTATTTTTTTATACTTGACTATATTTGGTGTGATTATGTATTTATTAATTTATTTATTTATTAACTTATCTATTTAATTATTTCTGTGATATTTTATATAATTAGGTTATCTCTCCTGTGATATAGTGTAAAATAAGAAGGTAGTAGAGTATGTGGAAATAGAAGTAGTCCTGTGATTTAGTCTCAAGATGTGAACAATTACGCCCAAAGAAAAACAACTGACATATAAAGGCCCGGCTAGGAGTCATGGGTCGAGGCCACACGTTGGACGCAACAAATACAAGCAACAGGCTGCCTTATTAATTTCTTTACGCACACGCTCCAAGTTGCAGGCACCATCGGCGGGTCCGAGCCTGTAGCGGCAGCGGTTGCCTAAGAGGAAGTGTGGCACATACATGCATTCATGTATATACGGCGGCCATGATGTTGCTGAGGCATTGGCAACATTGTAGCGGAAGCAGTGGAATTCAGGTAGTGGACTTTGTGGTGGGCATATGACATCATGTAGCGCAGTGTGAGGGTGTGCGTGTGAATAGGTGTCCTCACGAAGTGAAACCCGTTGAGCTAGTATGAGTGGCATGAAGGGCTTATTTGGTTTGATCGCCGTATAAAAGGGGGTAACCGTAACCAACGGGCCATTAAAGTGGTTGCGTTAAAACAGTGCGAAAAGTTGGTGAAAGTGCGCGAATAAAACGTTCGAAGTTTCTAGATACATAACTTATATTAATTAAATCCGCTATTGGTGTTTAGTTTTTTTTGATGCCCGTCTTGAAGTGCTACACAGGAATAGGAGGTAAGTTAAGTGGTTTTTAAGAAGCATGCATCTAAATTTGTGTACATACATATGTACATATATGCCCCGGCAGGCCTGGAGGCCTGTTGGGATAAACGTTCATATCCCAATCGGTTTAAGCTATTTGAGCTCACTTAAGAGTGATTGTCTTGGACCGCCTTGGTTGCGAAACGGCATCGATGAGATATGCGAGCATGCGTATATGCATATGTGCATATATGTATGTATATACATATGTGCGTATATACATCTATGCGAATGCTCACATAATGTTTTTAAACATCGACTAAACTCTGTTTGTCTTTTATAGGTCGCCAGAGGTAATAGGGCAAAAGGACCTCCATCCAGTTGGGACCTGAAAAGAATCACATCCAAAGGGAGAAGCTACCTACACCACAATCACGTCCGTCGGACAATAGCGACCAACTTCACAGCACCACTAACACGAAACGCACCGACAATTGAAGGCACTGAGTTTTTTTCGACTATATAATTGTATACGTATGTCGGGCTGTGACGTGAAGCAGCGGACAGCTGATCCATCATACGTCCCAAAATAGTAGGTTGATGACCACCTAACCACGCTGGAAAGTATAGCTGAATATACCCGCGAGTACCGTCAGCAATAGCAGAGAGTGCTGGAAGACGAATGAGCTGCAAAATACACCAAAAACTACGTGGGAGCATCGGGACAAAATTTAACAGCACGAACGCGAGCGGCTGTCACAAAATTACACGCAGCGGCATGATAAACCCTCTCTTTGCTTTGTAGGCCATTCGCCTAAATTTTTAGTACTTTTTCTTTAGTTTCTGTACATACTAGTTACTGAATTCCTTTGTTTTATTAGCTACATAGGTATATACATATATGTTTTAAGGAGTAGTTACTGAATTTGCTAAATTTTGCAATTTTTAATTTTGTGGAAATTCCTAAGCTTGCGATTTCGAAGTTTCCTAGGCATTTCATTTTATTTATATAGTTTTTAGTACTTACTTCCACACCGCCAGTTTCCAGGTTATTATTCCTTCTGCCTTTTGAATTTGGTTTTGAGTTAGGTTACGTGATATCATTTTTTTATTCTCCGCATGAATTTAGAGGTGATTTATATATATATGTATATATTTCGATATTTTGCTTTCTTTTTAATATTATAATAAGGGCATTTTGGTTATTTTTTTTAGGCCAAGACCTTTTAAACATGCATACAAAGCCCACATAGAAATTTAGTTTTGTAGTTAGGCATTTCTTTCTGCGTAATTCCTTTTTTTTGCTTGAAATATGAATTTTCAGTAGTACCCGCATTAGTACACGCACCTTCTAAATTTTTTTGGTTTTTTTTTGGATTTTATTCTTAATTTAGCTTGTTTTTTTTGTTAGTTCACTTTAATTGAATTGTTTAGTACCTACTACACGTGTTGCTCCAGTCTAGTGTAGTAAGACTAAAGGCGACCGGCTCATTGCCCGCGATCACATGCGAATGATAGACAGGAAAGTGAATAGGGCTATAGCACCTCTACCGTAGTAGTGGGTATGATACATGTTTTCATATATGTTAGGGTATCTCTCCCCCCCACAGGCTCCCAACAACGTGTTGGTACCATCATGTGGGTGGGTAGACTCCATTGACATTATAGGCTTTTTCCTTTTACTCTCTTTCCTCTTGTCTGCAATTTCCGACTTCAGGTCTGTGTTTTTTTTTTTATTTTTGTGAATCGGCATGAATTCTTTGTTAGTGTGACTTAGTGGAACGGATGCGAGGAGACCTACCCCAGCCGATGAGCGAAGCCAGGAACCACAAGCATGCCGTCTTGCCACTCCGCTCCGCTACCAACATACTGCTACACAATATACTTTACCCGCAATATCGATATTTAAGTTGAAATTTATTTTTCATCTAAAAAGAAGTGTATGGAAAAATACTAAAGAAGGTTTATTGTTCAGCCCGATATATCGCCATATCGATTTTACATGCAATGAATTAAATCGATTCATGATATCGATACTTTATTAAATTTTGAACATTCCTAACGTAAGTAAATTATGATGTTTGAAATTTAACAAGATTGGTTGCATTTTGACATAAACTTAAATTGAAAAAATTGTGAGTTTTATTAATTAATATTATCCATAAGGCAGTTGATTGTTTTGTCTTATGTATATTGTTTGAATTCAGAAATTTTTTTATTTAGATGTTCCTAAGTTGAATTGTTAATAATTTTTTTTTTGTATTATGGATTTCTAACTAGATTCCTATAGTTCGAATCCCATTGAGTAATGTTGGTGCGCGATAATTGGGTCTTCATGTCAGCTAGAAGCCAAGGCAGGGATGGGGTTAGGGTGGCCCAAACTATGCAAGGGGCTACCATAGGGATATAGGGATTTAGGAGGTTAAATTTGGTGGTAGTTGGTTTATTGAAGTTTTCCTCTAAGTGTGCAAATTACAATTTATTATTATGTGGCTCTCTAGCCTGGTTAGCTTTTTATTCTCGGTTATAGTGGCTTTATATTGAACCCACGAAAGTGAAGCTACGGGATATATGCCAGTGCACATAGCCTATTCGCTATATCATTCACGGATTTTTTTTGGTTTGTTGGATTTTGCACATTTTCACCCTAACCAGAGGCTAGGGGTTCATAACAATGACTCACATCTAGCATTCGTACTCCCCCACATCGAGTTTTGGGCATTAGTGTCGCAGTAGACAACCAGTGGCTTATACTTGTAGGCTGCTTCTTTGACCAATGTCCGAAATTCATCTGGTGGCACGTTCTTGTTATTGACCATGTAGGCAGAGGCTACCTAAAAGCTGGTTTTGTCCAGCTCAATGCTTGCCGCTACCATATAGCCGTCACTAAGCTGTGGAAGCAGGAAGATGTTTGAGTCGTTCCTTGCTAATATGCAAGCTCCAGTCTTACCTGCATTTTGTGCTGCAATAAGCTTAAAGCCCTTCATCCCAAGAAAGCAGNGAGTCTTATCTGCATTTTGTGCTGCAATAAGCTTAAAGCCCTTCATCCCAAGAAAGCAGATTTTGTTGCCGTGTATCAACGACTCCTGGATGAGGGCAACTTGAAGTCCACCGGCAGCCAGGCGGACTTCAAGTTTCGCAGACGCGAGTTTAGAGTGATGAAGGTTGATCTGGATCAGCTTCATAAGTTTACCTCCACAGTTGTGACGCTGCAGCTCCAGCCGTGAATCGGTTAGAGTCCGGTTTCCCCAGGCCTTTAGTATTTCTATAAATATTTGAACTCATAATTTTTTTGGTCCCACGAGTTTCGAACTATAGAGGTCCGCCCGCACAGAGGTCCGTGTGCGCAGGTAAGGCTTGATGGAACCGGAGGTCGCCAGGTATCCGAAGCATTCCGTTTGAGACTGGGCTATTTGTTAATCTGGGCCAGGCTGAACATCAGCACGGGTCGTCTTACACCTTCTTCCAACCCAATTGGCAAATCTCAGACTGCTGCGCATATGGAAACTGTGTATTTAGACATTGTTTCGGTTTCAAGCGAAACTATGCACTTATGCTTTATTTTATTTTATGTCATATGCATTATTTTCCTTTTCAACCGAAACTTGGCATGTATGTATTAATTCTTTTTTCTTTTATGCATTACTTCGGTTTTCTCACATGCATTATTTCGGTTTTCAAACGAAAGTGTTCATATGCATAATTTCGGTTTTATTGCGGGTTTCAACCGAAACTGGATATATGCATTACTTCGGTTTTTTTCGTATGCACAGTTTACATATGCAGAATTTCAGAGTGCCTCAATAAAAATGTGTAATATATTAAAGTGTTGCTAATAAAACGTTTTTTATTGTATTAATCATGGATTAGTTTAATTTTTTGACTCCCAAAGTAGTGGTTTCGGTCCATAATTGGACTAGTCCTTTTCTGTCTATTTTGAAATTAGTATGAGCCTAGTATATTTCTGACCTAAATCTGACAATTGCCATCTCGTAGGACATCTCCATGTTAAAAATACTAATTGATTGCATGGAAAAAAGTCTGTTGGCTGGCTAGTTGGGCCAGTTTGATATGGAAGTATTATTAAAGATAAATTACAATCAAATTACCTGACAGCCGGAACTTCAAGAATATCCCACTCGACAGACATATAGAACTCGGATAGGTCTACTCCTACATCAACGATATTATTGTCCTGTTGTTCATCCATATGTCGAAGATCAACCTTAATAGAAAATAGAAACAAAGTACAATACATGTAGTAAATATATACATGTCACAAATTCTTTGGAAGGTTAATTTGATCAATACCAATACACTACGTTATGAATACATGAATACTCCTCTCTGTAGAAAATAGTAGCGTTTTCGTATTCAAAGTTATCGCAATTTATAAAAAACTATCGACGTTTTTGGATGCTCCTTCCCATGAAACTTGCAAAGTAGGGGAAATATTGAGACCATAATAATTTTGAGAGATGCGAGTTTCTAACGAAAACAAAAATTTCAAAAACTTGCAAGCAAGAAAACAGGTTTAGCAATAGTTGTTTACAGCCCTATTCCCACATCATTGACAAAATTCTACGTATGAATATTGTCACAATTACTTCGCCTAAAACACAAAATAAATATTGTTTTGCCCTAGGCACATCAAACAAGTAGTAGTATTAGAACAAAAATCAAATCAAAGCGTGCCATGGTAAATTTGTTTGTGTTAGTAAATTTGTTTGCTTCGCGAAGCATTGATCCATCCTTTGCAAGCAGTGATCGGACTTAAAAAAATTCTGTGTAGTAGAATCTGGAAAAAAATTTAGTAGATTTCAAAAAAATGTGGTAGATCTCAGATTTTGGATCAAACTTTGTACAAAAATTAAAGAAATTCTGTAAGGTTTCACCAAAATTGCAAACTATTTAATTAGACTCTAAAAAACAATTAATTTTAGTATAACAAAGTACAAGATTGAAGTTGGTAAAAATTGCGTTGAGTTTTGGAAATATTTTTTTTGACAGTGTAAAGCGGTTCCTTCCATATTCACATATTTTTCGAACATACATTTTTTTGCAACCGTGCGGAGTACTGTCAGCGTTCCTTTTTATCACATCACGATGTACGCACGTTACAGAAAACGCTACATGGGATTAGCCGATTTTGACAATTCTCAAGTAAATGTAAGCAACACCTCAGCAACTTTAGATGCACTGAAACTTACTAATGCTTTCACAAAAATCGCAATTTTTTTTAATTTTCGCTATTAATTCGTTTTTTTAAATCATATATTTTAAAATTTAACATAACGAAACTACGTTTTCTGTCGAAAAATTTATTATTGAGAAAATTTACTATTTTACAGTTTATTTTATCCTCCCATTCGGCTTTGTTTACTTTTACTTGAGAAATTTCACCGCCGCTGTAGGTATACAATCTTCGATTATTACCGCAGCGACCACAAAAATGCAGTTGACAATATAGCAACTCAGTTGCCAGCTTGCAGTTGCCATCTGTAAAACCATTTCAGCCAGTGGCCACCCAACTGAAGCTCGGTTGCCATATACCTAAGTCGGCTCAGCTCGATGTTCTGGTCACATACATAAGTACACATTTTCATGAGTCTATCTCTTCTTATTCTGGTACTTACAAATATTGGACCAAAGTTATAATGCCATTTCATGCTCATGAAAGGTATAGTTTTCAGATTTCAAATCGGTGAAGTAGATAACAAAATATAAATTTAAACATTTTCTTAACTTCTTCCCAGCGTATCTATTAAAATGTCATTTTCAAAAATTTAATGCATTGCTATGCCATGTCATTACATCTCAAACATATTAGGTCTATTCGCGATTCGGTGCATAAGAGCTAACAAATTTATGCAATTGCAGAAATATGCCACGGATTGTGAGCGACCTTTATTAAACTATCATGGTAAAACTTTTTTAATCAGCTGATAGAAATGTCTACCAGAGTTGCAATGCATAGCATTTTTACGCTATGGATTTTTGGTATTGCAAATTTGTCAAGCCATGATAAATGCAAATGCGTGTATTTTGTTTGTGTATTGCAAATAATTTGCAATACAAATTTGCAATGCAATGATGCTAGGCCATTTGCACCGGATCGCGAATAGCCCTATATTATAGCATGTCATTGCTTCTTAATTCAGCTGTTGTTTGCTGTTGTGTTTCTGCAGCATATTTATGCCTTTCATGAGCATAAAATTGTATTATAACTTTGGTCCGATGTTTGTAAGTACCAGAATAAAAAGAGATAGACCCATTAAAATGTATACTTATATGATCAGAACGTCGAGCTGAGTCGATTTAGCCATGTCCGTCTGTTTGTATGCACTCTAGTCTCTCAGTTTTCGAGATATCCGGATAAAATTTGGTAGGTGGGTGTATTTTTATAATGTATTAATCATTTGTCGGAACCGGAAGAATCGGATCACTATAACATATAGTTCCCCTACAACTGATTGTTCAGATATAAGATTTTTGTTATAACTTCTCCATTTATGCAGCTAGGAACATGAAATTTCGCACAATTTTCACTCATTATTAACAGAATACTTACAATGAAAATAACAAGGATCGGGTGACTATAACATATTTGTATCTTCCATACATCTGATTGTTCAGATATGGGATTTTATTGTAAATCTTCTTTATTTGAACAGCTAAAACCGATAAATTTCGTAAGATATTTTATAAATATTAATACAAAGTCGAGAAAATCGTCAAAATCTTTGCTGTATAAGCTTTATCTCCTATGCCACTTATTGTTCAGATACCAGTTTTTGCGATATATCTCCTTTATATAGGAAACTAAACCCAATAAATTGTGTTACCGGTTTACATACCGATCACATATATAAGGTATATCTTCCATACCTCTGATTGTTCAGATGCGATTTTTATATAGGTATGTAACTCCTCTATCGATGTATGCAGATGTATTCAAAAGCAGTAAACTGTCAAAGTAAAATTTGCAGATGTTCATGAAAGGTGTGAAGCCTTCGGCATAGCCGAAAAGAGCGTTGCTCTTACATGTTTTAATACTGTTTAATCCTGCCTTGTATGAAAATGTATATAGATTTTTAATTAGATAATTGTTTAATAAATTTTACTATAGTAGGAGCTTGCGAAATTCGGAAAATCTCTTCCCGTATATAAAATGTAAATAATAATTCTGAATACCTCGCATGTGTTCCTTTTGTTGACATGCATAAATTTGATGCACGATTTGATTTGAATTTATTCGTCAATGTCTTCATATATCACTTTCAAACATGTATAAGCGACATGATATAAACTAGCACTTTCATGATGTGTTACATGTCGCTATGTTTTATAGTTCAGGCCTTTAGTATCTATATATAATTGCTCAGTCATACCACTTAGTTAGGCCGATCTTTAGCACCCACAGAATTGAGCTATATATCAAACTAAAGTGCAAGCTGTAGTTGACCGTGTTTGTCAAAAAAGTAAAAAGCGGCAGAAAAGTCGATAGTGCGTAATATATTCTATTGAAAAATATTAACCATATTTGCGTGCAATTGAGATTCGGATTATTACGTATTATTCATAGTTTTGAAATATATTTCACGAAAGCAAAAAATAAAAATAGCTGAGATCCCATTCTTTTTTAAACACCTAGGGTATCACTGACCATTAAGAAAGACCCTGAATGACCGCAAACCTCAAATCTTTACACATTTTTGTATTGTTTTTTAAAATGAACGATCCAAAATTAGCCGGTATACATATTTAAAATTATTTAGAACCAGTGGTTGAATTATTGTACTGAAAGGGTTAACCCCAAAAGTATAATCTATGTCTGCGAGGCGTATACGAACTGGGTATTTTTTTAATTTTAACACAAAATTGACTTTTTATTTTGTTGTTTTAAATAAATGTGGTTATAGTTTTTATTAATAAAACTATGTTTTATTATTAGTCAAACTCACAACTTCAATATTCTTTAAAAAGTAGCCACAAGTTTGTATCTTGCAAAATTTTAATAATTGACTAGTGCGGGAGAGCAGGAATTGACACTTTCTTTATTAGCCAACTTAACGTGGTGCAAAAACCACAACAGCATGATTCATATACTGTCAGAACCGAAATTCAGAATTTTGGAAAAGCAAGTAATACTTTAATCGCGTACTCGATACCCACCTAAGTACTTGCGGGAAGGATTCGAGTACAAAAAGTACTCAGTACTTGAAGAAAGTATCGAGTAATTACTTGTAGTTACTCGTATCGGAACAACACTAGCAATACAAGATTAATTGTTGTCTTTCACGAAGTTCTTTAAATAAATTTTGAGGTAAGTACTCACCCGTATTTCGGGGGTTCCTACTAGTTTTAATAAATTGTTACTTTAATTTCCTATAAAATTTGCATTTTAAGAATACATCGAAAATTTGTTTTAGAGAATCAATGTAAAATAATTGCAGAAACGATTAACCGGTTTGCTGAGCAACCGAGACGTCTGCTTTTTAAATAATTTTTGTAAAATAAATCGGCAAGCACATATCGTCCCCCGTATGCCAAAAACATGAATGTGTAAAGATGACAATTTTAGGATTCTTTTATATATGCTTTTGATAAATCTCAATGCGGATGGGAGGCGATTCCAAAGACGAATAGCGTGGACAAAGAATTGCCTCTCGGATATTGAGGTGTTGTATTTCGAGTGTAACGGCTGTGAAGATCNGAAACATGAATGTGTAAAGATGACAATTTTAGGATTCTTTTATATATGCTTTTGATAAACCTCAATGCGGATGGGAGGCCATTCCAAAGACGAATAGCGTGGACAAAGAATTGCCTCTCGGATATTGAGGTGTTGTATTTCGAGTGTAACGGCTGTGAAGATCTAGTTGAACGGGTATAGTGTAATCGGCCCTTTAGATACTGCGGTTCATTCGTAACTAGAATTTTATGCAGCATTACGANAGTGCCTCAATAAAAATGTGTAATATATTAAAGTGTTGCTAATAAAACGTTTTTTATTGTATTAATCATGGATTAGTTTAATTTTTTGACTCCCAAAGTAGTGGTTTCGGTCCATAATTGGACTAGTCCTTTTCTGTCTATTTTGAAATTAGTATGAGCCTAGTATATTTCTGACCTAAATCTGACAATTGCCATCTCGTAGGACATNAGAAAAAATCGTTGTGGCTAAATTGGAAATATGATCACGCTTTCTAATGCCGTATATAT